AAAGAAAGAGTTCTTGGTAAAGCATTCTTTACTAGGCCTGAGAAGTCCCTTCATGCTGATTACATTGTGAAATCTCCAAAAGTGGAATATCTAGTAGGTAACACTTCCAAAGGAGCCCTGGTGGCTCACTGGTTAAGTGCATGGCCTCTAACCAACAGTTGGTGGGTTGAACCCACCCAGTGGCTCTGTAGGGAACGACCTGATAATCAGCTTCCGTGATGATTGTTGTTAGGTCCCATCAGGTTCCTGCACCATCCTCACAGTCGTTGCTGTGTTTGAGCCCGCTGTTGCAGCCGCTGTGCCGTTCCATCCTGTTGAGGGTCTTCCAATTTTTTGTTGACTCTTCACCAAGCATAATGTCCGTCTCCAGGGACTAAACCCTGATAACATGTCTAAGTGCATGAAACGAAGGAAGTCTTGCCATCCTTCCTTCTAAGGAGTATTCTGTCTGTACTATTTCCAAGATAGATTTCTTCTGGCAGTCCATGGTGTATTCAGTATTCTTCATTAACACCATAATTTAAAAGCATCAGTTCTTCTTTGATCTTCCTTATGCATTGTCCAGCTTTTGCATGCATCTGAGATGAGATTATAGCTTAGGAAACCCTCTGTGGGGCAGTTCTGCTCACGTGGGGTCACTGTGAGTAGAAAATTGACTGCATAGCACCCAACAACAGCATCACCAAGCTTGCCCTCTGTACTCTCATGACCATATTTTAAGGAATACAATTTGGGAAGTGCTGGTGTACATTTGTTTTTCTTAATATTTAAGACGTAAGTTAAAGATAAAGGCATTAGGAACTTAGAGAAGAGAAAAGATTATGCTGATGAATTAAGAGGCTCCCAGAAAAATGGAGATTAGAAGCTTTTAGTGTGAGAGCAGAACATGAGCCTAGCTTCTAAGACAGTGTCCAGCATAGCACTTGGTGTACCAAGAAGCCAAAAACCAAACCCGCTTCTGTCGAGTCAATTCTGACATATAGTGATCTGTAAGGCAGAGTAAAATTGCCCGATAGGGTTTCTAAGGCTGTAATCTTCATAGGAGCAAGCTGCCTCATCTTTCTCCCATGGCATGGCTGGTGAGTTCAAATGCTGACCTTTCTGTCAGCAGCTGAGCACTTAATCACTGCACTGCCAGGGCTCCTTCTAAACCAGAAAACCAAACTCATTGCCATCGAGTTGATTCCTACTCATAGTGACTCCCTTTGGGTTTCCGAAGAGGTAAATCTTTATGGAAATAGATTGCCCTGTCTTCCTTCTGCAGAGTGGCTGGGGAGGTTGAATCGCCAGCCTTCTGGTTAGCAGTCAGATGCCTTAGGCAATACGCCACCAGAACTCCTTTACCAGAGCTTCTTAGCACTTGCTATGTGAGGATGTATAGTGAAGAGGGAGCTAGCTGCCACAGAGGAGTGCTGTTTAGGGGGTTGTCTAAGCAGATCATTGACACAGTCGTACCTGTCTCTCCTGCCTCCCAGGGTGTTGTACTGGGATGTTACTTTGGGCCTGCTGCACTGTACATCTGGGCAGTGGGGATCCTGGCTGCAGGACAGAGCTCTACAATGACAGGAACCTATTCTGGACAGTTTGTCATGGAGGTAGGTGCTGTTTCTACTGGTGTGGCATAGAAGGACAGGACATAGCCCTTCTGTTACCACTTCTTAATCCTGTGCTAAGATCTCTCCTGAACCTCCCCAGCCCTTTTTCTGTTTCCTTTTCCAGACATTCATCCTGCTTCTGTGTTCTCTCCCAGGGATTCCTGAACCTAAAATGGTCACGCTTTGCCCGTGTGATTCTTACCCGCTCTATTGCCATCATCCCCACTCTGCTTGTTGCTGTCTTCCAAGACGTAGAGCATCTGACGGGGATGAATGACTTCCTGAATGTGCTGCAGAGTTTACAGGTGAGGAGGGAGCTGGGGGAAGCTCACATCCCATTTACTCAGCACCATGTATGGCTCTTGGGGACTAAGCCCAGTGCTGGGGGAAATTAGAGGAACAAGTAGTCATTGTCTTGTTCCGCAGTAAATGTATGTGAAATCCCTGGCATGTAGAAAGCTTTTCCAACTGGCTTGTTTCTTTAAACTTGTTGAATGGGAATTATAAGCCATAATCAAATATAGGAAACAAAATTACAGCTCATTAATCCAAGCAAATATTTATTAAGTGAGCATACAGGACCTTGGAAGGAAGATCGGGAGATCTACTTCCATAGTGATACTGCCTCGGAATCCCGAGGGGTCTCTATGAGTCGGATCTGACTCGATGGCAGTTAGTTTGGTTTTTTTTTTTGTTTTGTTTTGGTGCTAGGTATTATGGAGATTCAAGAAGACAACCAAACGAAATCCACTGCCATAGAGTGGATTCTGACTCATAGCAGCCCCCATTGGGTTTCCAGGGTGGTACATCTTTATGGAAGTGGATGACCCCATCTTTGTTCCATGAAGTGGCTGGTGGAAAGAAGGCAGAGAGACATATTTGTAAAGACACTTATGATCATAACTGATACTAGGTTAATGATAGCTGTGCAGATTTCAACATGATGTAGAAGGAGGTCAGGATAATGGCAATAATTATTTCTCATGGAGTAAATAAATGAGGCAAAGTCTGTGCTTGCATTTGGCTAACAGTGCTGCTCTCTGGGCTAATACCAGGCTCCCAGTGACTCACTCTGACCTTACTTCTCTCTTTTCCAGCTTCCCTTTGCTCTCATACCCATCCTCACATTTACGAGTTTGCGGCCAGTAATGAGTGAATTTGCCAACGGAATGTGAGTATGCGCTTCTCTCAGTTCCCCAAAGGGGGTGCAGATCTGTAGGGGAGAAATGTGTCTTGATCAAGCAGGCCAGTCAGAGAATGAGTCATACAGAGGAACTATATGCTTTGAGAGGTGGTCACTAGAGTTCCTTTCTCAATCCTTGGCTTAGAAAATGGAGACTGAGTGTAGTAATGGAGGGAAAGTACATTTTCTCTGGGAAAAAATGGTTCGGCTTTTAGAATTTTAACTCTTCAACTTCAATCGCTAAAGTCTGGAGCACTATAATTATGTGTTAAATGATCTTAATGAGAAAGGCATTGTGGTGATATATCAAATCCCCACTTTTCACTTTTCTGTCATTTCTGTTCTGAAACCAATTGCACATGCAGCACTTCTTCCTCTGACCTTAACCACTGGCTCTAGGTCAGACCTCATAAGCTAAAGGACACAGTCCTCCGCATTGCCAATTATGCCTAAGACTTGTAATGTCAGCAGCTACAAACTTGGGAGTCCCAAGGGCTTCCCTCACTTCTGACCTGCTGGATCCCCCTACTCCCGGGGTTTAATAATTCATTAGAACAACTCACAGGACTTACAGAACGTGCTGTACTAACGATTACAGGTTTATTACTGTAATATAAATTAGGATCTGCACAAAGAAGAGGCTCACAGGGCAATGTCTAGGAGAGTTCCCAGTGTGTCCTAAAAGGGACATGCTGCCTTCCAATGTACATCAATGGCTTTCATCAACCAGGCAGAGCATGGAGCGTCTATGTCCAGGGCTTTTAGTGGGAGTTTCATTATGTAATTGAAACTGTAGTCCCTCTTTGCTGAGGTCAGTTGGTGTCACCAGTAATCATGACATTGACACATGTGGTCTGTCCCACTCAAGAATCACCTTATTAGCATAACCTCTTCGGTTAGGTGTGGTCTGGAGCCCTCATTAAAGACAGTGATTATCACTGAGGAAATTAGAGGTTCTGTCAGGAACCAAAGACAAAGGTCAAATTTCTTGGGTAAAGTTAATGCAAACCACATAGGCATGAAGCTAGTAACTTTTGTGTACACTTCTAAAGTTTTTTCTCCCCCACTCATCCTATCAGTGTCTAACTTTGGCTCGTTTAACCTAATCTGGGATATGTGAAGAGTCATTTTGAAATGCCTCTTTGTCCTCTGTCCTGTTCAACTTACAAGACACAGTTTCCTTTCTGGTTGTGGCCAGGTTGGACTATTCCTCCACTTGACTGTGCTGATTCTTTCACAGAGGCTGGAGGATTGCCGGCGGGATCTTGGTCCTTATCGTCTGTTCCATCAACATGTACTTTGTAGTGGTTTATGTCCAAGGACTAGGGCATGTGGCATTGTACGTGGTGGCTGCTGTGGTCAGCATAGCTTATCTGAGCTTTGTGTTCTACTTGGTAAGTCCAGTTTGGAAGGGATAGGGGCCTGGTATCAGGGATGGTGGAGGTGGGCTGACATTCAGAAATGAAGGAACCCAAAAGAGCACATAACAACCCATCTTCCAGGTCATATTAGCTATTCATGAAATGATATTTCCAACCATAACATTTATCGTGGTTCCTAAAGTGTGTTATTTTTCTATTTCTGTCAGGTTGTTTGGTTTATCTTATTAACACTTGTTTATAAGAGAGTGTATATGTAGCATGAAGGAGGAAGTGGGGAGTAGTATGAGACAGCTTGAGAAGGGGGCTGTGCACTGTCATTGTGAGCTGGGGGGGGGGGCACATGTGACTTTGCAGCCCAGCTCCACTATCCACTAACTATCCAACAATGAAATGAAATAAGTAAACAGTAATATTTTCCCATTGGATTATCGTGTTAATCTAGTGGTTATTCATTAAAAAGTAATGTTTAGTCATTAAGAAAATGGTGGTTGTGAAAACCATAGCTACATGGAAAAGGAATGCAAAGTTATGAATACTCAGATTATCCCATTATAAAAACAACATTTTAAAGTCTAGAGTAAAGTTATGCAAAAGCGGTAATAATAGTTATTTTAGGGAGGTGGGATTATGGACATTTATTTTTTCTCTGTTTCCCAAATTTTCTATAACATTGGTTATATTAATGAAAAAACAGCTACAATAGGAACAACAAATCCACTTCTCATCTTATGTAGTGTCTTTGAAAAATACAGTGATTGGGAATGAGGAATGGCAGAATTTAGGCCATGTCTGCTGCAGAGAGTGCATCGTCCTCCCCATAAGGATGGAGGGTGCAACCACTAGAATACTTAGCTAGTCCCCATGCCTGTCTGCCACAGATTAGGGACCTAACAAATCACTATAGTGGGTATTGAAAAATGTGTATCTTGGATTGATATAGCCCTTCTTTTCTCCTCCCCAGTAAACCTTGGGTACACTAACATTATGCTGACCCTGTCAATCTAGAGACTTGCTCCAAGAAAACCCAAGTAACTGAATGTATCCTTGACAGAAATTGTTTTAAAGATCCGCTGTAGAAGTTAGGGGAATGCTGCCTTCGTGAGAGTTGTTCATGAAGATCCCAGTGTGTCCTCAGTTTGCCTATAACAATAAGATTGTTAGGAGCTCTGGTAGCATAGTGCCTAAGGCACTAGACTGTAACCAGAAGGCTGGCGGTTCAAACCCTCCATCCACTCCTCGGAAGGAAGATGGGGCAATCTACTTCTGTAGTAGTACTGCCTTGGAAACCCAAGGAGGGGTCGCTATGAGTCGGGTCCGACTCAACAGCACATAACAACAACAACAAAATAAGATTGTTGAGAGCTGATTCCAGGTTTGAGTACTACTATTAGCTGCCAATAGGACTCTCATAAAGCAGCTCAGGAGACCATTGCGGTTGTGTTTGTCAGTCATTCCCCTCGATTCTGAGCACGCTGAGAGGTGAGGAATGAGATGGGACTGAAGGAAAAGTGATCTTCAAGGAAACAAACCACAAACACAAAGCAGTAAGAACAGTCAGGCAGACCCTGGCAATCAGTGCTAAAAATAGTAGGGAGAAACTTTGCAGGAGAGCTGAGTTCATGATGTTTTGAAAGGGGATCAGGGTTGGGAGAATTATTTGTGCGATCCTTGGTCGTAGAAGATAAACAAAGCTGGATGTTAAAGGAAGAGAGCAGGTTTGCCTCTGAGCAGTGCATTGTGAGCAGTCATTGTGGGCAAGAGGTTCTTCAAAGAGGCTGGATAAATGATGACTGTATTTTATCTTCCAGGGTTGGCAATGTTTGATTGCATTGGGCATGTCCTTCCTGGACTGTGGGCACACGGTAAGCATCTCTAAAGTCCTGCTGACCGAAGAGGCCACCAATGGCTCTACTAAGTAAACACTGACTGGATCAGTTGTCTGTCCTCCGCAGGTAGCCATCAGAGCCAGTGTGTTTCTATGGTTTACTGTGTGAACATAGCCAAAAGTATGTGCTGTTGCACAAAGACCACTTACAACTCAACTGTTTGTTGGGAAGGACTGTTTCATACATGTTTGAAAGGTGGAACTTACTTTCTTCCTTTCCTCCTCACCTGGGAACTAGATTAGGTAGGATCTTTGAAAAGCTGACAATTGCTGCTATCATTCTAACACTAAACTCTTAATTAGCTGCTCAAGGACCAATTTGTTTTATTCATTTGAGAGAGAATCCTCTATGCATGATACTTAACCAGTCTATATGGGTTTTTTTTTTTTTTTTTTTTTTTTGGAGAATGCATATCATGTATTGTCCACCATAACTTGAAAAATTAGCCAATATTTTTGATACTAGGACACAAAAAGTATATCCTGAACTCTTGCATTTTTTTAAATTGTATTTTAAGTGCAAATTTACA